CTAACCCTAATCACACACACACACACACACACACACACACAAAACCAATGGACAATAAAGCTTGATATGAGCTAGAAATACCATTAATTTAATGTGGTTTAATAGCATTATTTTTCCAGGTTTTTAACACCTATATTTTTCTTTAGAAATATTTTGATATCTGGATTGAAAAGATATTAAGATAAAGGAAAAAATCCTGAAAATGAACAACTGATGCAATTGAAGATTTAGACATATTTTGCAATTCACAGATTTCTAAAATCTGCACTTAAATGGGAACGATTTGCAAAGCTCATCCATATATATGCTTCGTCGTTAATCACCTGCTTTGAAGGATATTTGGTTGGCATAGTAATGTCAAGCTTTGTGCTGGGAGAAACATGGTCATGACGAATGTGCTGTGACATGAATCCTTAATTAGAGAATGAAAAGTTTAATTCATTTCCTGGAGGAAATGGTGGCTGATAATTGAAATCATTCAGCAGGACAAAAGTTTGGATGCTCACAAAATATAGCTTTCTTTTTCCTCTAATCCTGGTCTCACACACACCATCTCCCTCAGAGCAGTTAGCCTGCAACAGTTACTTCCTGAGGGATTTACAGTCACAACTGACGCAGCGTTTCTCCATCTCTCAATATCAGTAATTGCACATTTTTGAACTATGATGCTTGACAGAGGAAACGTCTGTGCCTCGAGCTTGTTGTGATTTTGTCTGAGTAAGAGTTTCAGTTAACCTCTTCAAAACAAAGGGATGCAAGTGACTATAAAGTCTCCAGAGTCAGATGATGTAAAAGCTGTGTAACTAAGAGCCTTAATTATTTGGGTAAACATCAGATATTCTATTTTAAACAAGTAAAACTGTGTCTCACTATTGCTGCATGTAGAAGTGTAAATGACTGGGAAGAAAGACATGGTAAATAACTCTACACTATACATTATAAAGGTTTTGTTGGTTATCATCATTGAGTTAGTGCAAAAAGAAATTTGTGCCATTTTACCTGTGTGTGTGTGTGTGTGTGTGTGTGTGTGTGTGTGTAGGTAAATATGCAGAAGACCTGTTTGGAGAGCTCTTCAACGAGGCCCACTCCTTCTCTTTCCGGGTCAACTCCCTGCAAGAGCGCGTGGACCGCCTTTCCATCAGTGTCACACAGCTTGACCCCAAAGAGGAGGAATGTGAGTACTGCAAACACACAATCACAAGCAAACACAAACCAGCCCCACTTCCTTTCATTCCTGTGTGTGTGTGTCTCTGTGAGGATCATTTTACCTATCAGCCCTTATGAGTATAAAAGATTAAGTTTGGGGCCTGGATAGGGGTTGAGCTTTGGCATTTAGTTTATTAGAAGTAATAGAAGTATTGGTTTGTTTGTTTGTGTGTGTGTGTGTGTGTGTGTGTGTGTGTGTGTGTGTGTGTGGGAGCTCATCTTTCTCTCACCCCTCAGTGTTAATGGCTGTTATCAGGAAAAACAGGCAGAGAGATGGTCGACATTTTTAATCGCAATAACACAAACCTTATCCTCTGTTATAAACATTCAGAATTTTAATTTGATTCTAACACTCAGACTCAGGTGAGCAATGAGTTAAAGGAAAATGATGATTGGCGGGGACTGTCGGGTAAGCCAGGTTATCCTGAGAGAGGGAAGGCGGGATGACAGGATAGCGCAGCAAGAGGAGAGTGCAGTGGGTGTAAAGTAAAAAGGGGAGAATCACAGCAATGTAATAACATGCTCCAAGGCGCAGAATCGATTTTTCTGCGGGCCAGCAATGTGTTTACGGTTTTGAACAACGCTACTCTAACTGCTTCCTTGTCACTGACACACAGACAGTAAAATGCTCACTGGGCTGGAGACGCCGCTTATTTTTCTTCCGTGTATGTAAGCACAGGCGTTTGGTAACTTTTTACAAGGCAGTGAATTTTTTTTGGTTTGTTTTTTTGCTGAATAATGAGTTTTTGTTTTAAAGTCAGTCAGAAACAGACTCTTAATCACAGTCGGTTCACCCTAATCTCCCTTTTTTGCTTGGTGCTCCATTGTTTTCTCCTCCTCCTGTGATTAAAATCTCCTCTACATTCATCCTCTGAATTGGTTTACATTTTTTTTTTCATATTACCCCTCATCTTCTCTGCCTGTCATTCTCCTACATGTTTCTCCTTCCCTTCTCTTCCCCCCCTCCTCTCCCCACCCTCTCTTCTCCACTTGTCCAAATGCTCTCGCTGTGCCGATTGAATAATTGTGTGTGATCTAGTTTGATAACTCATGCACCTAAACCCTGCAGAGGATAAGATATTAACATTCATTTCACTGGATAGACATCAGCAGACTTTTGGAAACACCCAGGTAACAGCAATACTTTTTACTGTTTTGGGCATAAATGCTTTTCATGCATATTCAAGCCTTTGCACACAGATTGTGAGTGAGCCCGTGTGGGCGTGCATGTGGTCCTCGGCTTCATCTCCCTCCATAAATAAGACTTTCATAGCTGAAGCATTGGCTTGAGAGGCGGTGGATAAGGATCAGCTCAGTTGCAGTTTAAGAGTGCGGAAGGGGTTGAGGGGGGAGAGTTGGAGGGGAGGAGGACAGTAAGAAAGATGGAAGGAAAGAGGGATGGGTGCATAAGGACACTGCAGCAAAAAAGCAGTGGAGTGTAAAAGGATCGTACCGCAGAATTTTCTGGGCCAGGTGGAAACGGCCTCCTCTGCAGGTTACACAGATTTTCCGCTCAGTTCGACGCCTCTGCATTCATTTATAACCAAATGAAGTTGTCTTGTAAATGAAAAAAATCTGCACTTCACTCTCCTCTTTTGCCCATTATCCGTTAAAGATTTAAAATATCAAGCAACTATAATAGTGAAGCGGTGTTGCAGCGCAGTGTGTCGTGTCGCCTGCTAAAGAGAGAAGAAGTCAGATGGATGTGACAGAAAGACGGACGGCTGCGGGACGGGTTTGCGAACCATTCCTGTAAATGCCCCATTTTATTCCCACCCACGCATTTTTTGAAACCCTCACACTCTCAAACATACATCACTTTGCACACATGTGTGCACAAAGTGTATGCTTTTAGCACAAGTGGACAACTTGCCTTGTAATTGTCTGTGTGCATCTGTGGTCTGCACGAGAGGAGGAGTGAAAGAGAGGGGAATGAGTGCAGGCAGGAGTAGGACCATAAATCAGGACTGTGGAGGGATGAAGATTGGAGGATGGGGGCCGGGAGAGAGGACAAAGGACAAGGACACAATACAAATTTTGCAGATACAGTCCTCAGAACACCTCACAAGCTTCTTTGAAGGCCTCTAAAACTTTAATGGACCTTTAAAATGTGGGGACCAGCTGTCAAGTCACACACACTCGTACAACTCCCCTGAAAATCTGGAACAAAACATTTCATCCTGGAAGCAAATTGCTGGACAAATGGTTTCAGATTCACAGCTTGTTTATATCTGATGTTAACTTAAGATGTAAATTAAATCTTGCAGCAATTATCACAGCATTATTTTTATGTAATTGCTGATATTTGTTAAAATATTCATGGCTGTTGCATCCATTTAAATTTTAGTAGGTGGTATATTGCAATTCATTGGATTTTATATTAAACTAGAAGAGCACTCAGAGAGAGAGCATACCTCTATTGAGGCCCAACAGTTCTGTGAAGATTCATCCAGGTGCCACATTCATATAAACAGTCGTCTCATGAAACCACATTTAAATTGAGTAATTCTGGATTTTTATTCTAGACTTGACAAATGTGAACCAGGATGAAAGCAGTTAAATGACATTGTTACTGAATGATTTAGAGCAAATCCAGTATCCAGCACTAAGCAAAAGAAATGTCAATGATTCTGCAGATGTTGTTGGCAAACCCTTTGACAAAGAACTGTCACTGAGGCTTTATATTTTATAGTCTAATGATAATCTTTATCATGAATAACTTTAGATAAAAAGATCATGCAAATACAAGCAATCATAGACATTGAATTGGAATATAAATGCACATCTTTTCTTTTGTGAAATCTGTAAAATAAAAGTTTACATGTCGGCAAACAAAAAGGTGAATCCCAATATGTCTGTCTCCTATTGACCGGCTCAGCGACAGGCTGTAATAACATAAAACGTCCCTGCAGCACTCATGATGAAACTCGCAGTTTCTCACTGAGGCTGTAACACCCATTGAAGTGTCTTTCATGCATTTTGAATGAATGTCAACTTGTGACCACTGTTCATCTCTGTCAGTGCACCACTCCTGTGTTTGCCAGATTCAAAGGAGCTCAAGCTCTGCATAGAAAAACATGGATAAAGTGAATCGTTGTTTACTGTAGTCTGAAGCCTAAAAGGGAACAGAGTGTGGTGGACGACATGAAAGATGCTTAGCTGAAGGTCAGAGAGATGTGGGACAGAGAGATGGCCGCAGTGATGTATGCGGTGTCACTGGTGGTGCAGTGGTCGAGGTCAAATGTGCTTTGTCACATGGATTTATGAACGTACAATCTCACACACACACACCTTGCCCACACCCCGCTGACCCTTAAGCCGTTAAAGGGTATTGTTCCTTACTTTGCCCTTTAGGGCTCCACTCCCATCCTCCTCTTCCTCCACTCCTCTCATGACTGTTAACGCCCCCCCCCAGCCCCAGTTGTCCTCCTCAGCTCTCTCTCATCTTTCTGATTGATCTCCGTTCCCCCTCCATCTTGTGTGGATGCTATTTGATTGCTGTCAGCCTCTCTTCCCCGTATCACTCCAGCCAGCCAAACTAATGGCCTGTATCCCCTATGTAATGGCTCCGTTATATCATTGCACTGGCTGCAGGCCATTATGGAAGGCCACAAAGCCACCACTCTAACCGTTTCTTTATATACTTCATAGTCTCTCTCTCTGCATCCGTTTTCTTTGAGTCCTCGCTGATGTAAGAGGTTCTTTCTTATTCTTCAACTGTTTCTTTTTCTCTTTAGTTTTTATCTTTTAGTGCTCGTTAACTCTCCTTGAGTCTTATTACCTCTGGCACATTACTTTTCCTTATCCCCCTCTTCATCTTGCTCTTTGTCTTTCCGTCGCTCTCTAATCTATTCAATTAAACTTTACTTGCACAACTGTTAAAAAGAATTAACAAAGGAATATGCAAACAGTTTATAGAAAGATAAATTGTCAACTAAAAGACCAAAACATTCCTTGACATGATTGTCTAGCTTTAATAGTAGGAATATAAAAGAAGAAAGAAAGTGGTCTAATAACAAATGATTTAAACATAGTTAATGTAAGTGAGCCCAGGCTGGTGATTTTGTAAATATAAATGGTATAAATGTGTGAATCTAACAAGCCCATCAAAGTTGTCAAGTGTTCCAGTGTCAGTGGTTTTATATCACAGTAGCATCATATACCACACTAGAGGAAAAAACACTGCAGATAATATCTCGTCAATCTACAATCAAATCAAGAAGTAGTATTATTTTATGATTATAATGTTTGATAATATTTGATTTTGATACCAGAGAATAGAGTTATTCAATATAGAATACAGAACTACATATATGTGGCTGCAGAGGATTTTATTCCACTCATTATTCACACACGATCAGATGTGTCTCTTCGGTCTTCCTCACCATTTGGCAATGAGACTTGGGAAAATAGTTAAATTCATGCCTCAGATATTCAAAGTATAATTTGTGGTTATGATGGCTCAAAGGCATCTGCACACTTTGTACACAATAATTCAGAACACATTTGTCCCTATGCAATGTCCCGATGCTAACTGCAGATGGTCGGCATAAACTTATGTATTTTGTACAGAGGACAAACAAAAAGCTAAAGAATGGAGGATGAAGAAACTGGCAAAAACTGAGTTGGAGCAAAGACTCTCTCCTCGCCCTCCTCTTCATTTGCATATTTCCATGTTAGCTCTATCGTCTATTTACCTATCTCCTCCTCTGCTCTTCAAGCTCGCAGAGTAGCAACAGCGATTCAGCGCTGCAGGAAGACGTACACAGAGGGGGGATATATAGGGCAAATTTTGCATTGAAGTACAACAGGAGAGAGAGGTGTGCCTGCATGCTAAAAGACAGCTTGGCCTTCGCCTTTTTCTTATCTTTGCTGGCTCTGTGTAGGACTGCATCTGTGTGAGTGAGGGGATGAAAAGAGGGAAGGTGTGATACTTTTTCCTGAAACTTATAGCAAGGCTGGAGGAGATGGGAGTGTGTGTGTGCGTGTATGTGTGTGTGCGTGTATGTGGGTGTACGTGTGCATGCATGTGTGTGAGTGACAAGAACTTCCTCGCCTCTCTTTGATTGAGGGTGTTTCCAGCGAGATGCTATCTGTCCAGGGGAAAGATATGAGAGAGAGAGATAAACTATATACCACTCGCTCACGGATAAGGAGCTTCACAGGCGGAGATCAGAGGCTGCTGTTGAACCTGATGCTGCTCGACCTGAAACATACACACACACACACACACACACACACACTCACTTACTGACTGACTGACTGACTCACTGTCTCAAACACACACACTCTCATTCTCACCACCTAAAAGCTTTCACTGATTTGGTGTTGTTTGTAGTTCAGCTGAATAAATTACATTTTGTAATTATCATGTAGAACATCATGTTAAGATCTGTGTGTGTTTGACTGATCCAGTGTGTGTGTGTGTGTTTGTGTGTGTGTGTGTCTGAGTCTGTTTCTGCCTGCATTGATAAGTGCAGTGTGCCTCTCTCTGCGCTGAGTGTTGCTTGGCAGGGTTTTACAGTCACTCTGCATCAAACGCATCCTGACACACACCTCTGCAGTGGCCCAATCTTGTTTTTCACTTTTGCACTTACTTGTCACACCATCTGACAGCCCTCCGCTCCCTCTAAACGCGACAGGGCAGCAGGAGGCTGTGCTCTTGTTCGACATTCAGCACAAAGGAACGCCAGATTGACACGCACCATTCGGTCACTGGGCACTTCTGGCCCCCCAGCATGGTGTTATCTGTTTATAGTACTCTATACTGTATTCTGCCAGTTTCTAAGTAGTTTCCTCATCCTGACCTTGACTCTGACCTTGCATCTGCAAAAAGTAAAATGATCTACAGCAATACTAAATGTTCCAAAAAAGGGATCACTTCCAAGTTATCTTCACTTCAAAGTTATCATAGCTAGGAGGAAGCATGATGTAGATATTAAAGGATAATTCCACCTCATTGCCACTTGAGTGATATTTTAATTTATGCTAGGATTCCTACTGGTGAATGTTATGTACTCACAAATGTACTGCTGGGTTGTGGGAACGCTGCAGCATCGATAAGTAAGATGGGTAAAGAAACAGCAGTTGGACAGGTTGGACAAGTTTTAAACAAACTGCCAGATTAGTCAAACTCATTTGGATAAGGAAACATACTTGTTTAAAAATTACCATTCTCAACATTGTTACACACATGGTGCAACTGTACATTTCAGGTCTGCTTTTATTTCCATTTTATCTGTAATGACTCACAAATCCAGTGAAGAGTCCACTTTGATCACGCGAAGAGCAACCAATGAATCACATTTTAGCCCATATTCACAAATCACAGTTTGCCTATAGGACTTAATCTGTACAAGGTGCCACATCCTCTGTTCCTAATCCTCGACTATTAGGAGTAGAAAATGTGTGAGAGAAGGCTGCTGATCATTGTCATCAGTTGTCCTCAGCCAAAGCAATATTGCAATGGCAGTATAGAGCACATACCAAGGTCCAACAGTTAAATTCACTAAAATTGAATGGGCTCTTCCCTGACCTAAATTGCATCCTTCCACTAAAGTTCCTAGAAATCCATTCAGTTGTTTGTGTGTAATTGTGTTTAAGTCCCAACAGACAAGGGTGAGAACACAACCTTCTTGGCACAGTAACAAAGCAAATATGTCTTAAAAACACCAGTTGATTTGGTAGTTTTTCATGAATCATGAGGCAGCAGTGTAAAAGAAAAAGGAGCGACCGCCCTTAGCTTTCTCCTGTGGTCATGTCGGTTTAACACAGAATGTTGTTCACAGTGTTTTTCTAAGGGCTCTCCATCCGTGTCTGTTTTTCTGTGAAGTCCAAACCCCCCCTCTGGCTCTGCTCAGGTTACCCTATGTCTTTCATAGATACTTGGTGTTTTCACGTGTTTTCACTTTCTTGCACTATTTTACATCACTCCTCCCTTGCTGTTTTTTCCGTGTTTCACTCCCCTGTCTCTATTACTTTACCTTCTGTGTCCATGTAGTTATATTATCTTCCTCTTCCTCCTCTTCTCTGGCCTTCTTTCTCTGTCCTGCAGTGTTACTTACTTAAACCTTGGCTCCCTGATAGTGTTTGTTAATAATGATACTTAAGTGCCTCAGGTGGCTGTGGAAGTCATTATCCAGCTGCACTGCTGCAGTGTAGAGGATCAGATTGCTGTAGCTGATCCTTTCTTTGCCTTTTCTAAAGTATCTTTGTTTGTCTTTTTCCATTAAGGTAAATGTTATTTTCCTGGCTTAGTTTTAAATAACTCTGCAGTGTATTATGTAGGTTATAGGTAAGTATTGGATTTAGTTTTGTATGTGGTACAGCGGACTATAACAATACTTTTTTCTAAATGCCACATGGCTTTTTTCAGTCTTCCCCTGGGCAGCAGCAAAGCGTATCCATTTGTCCCTCCTTCATGTATAATTCAGATCTGGTTGCAACGCTCTAGATTTATTTCCAAGTCTTTTTTTTTTAACTCGGCCCGACCAGAACGAGGGTTAGCATTTCTCTGTTGTTTTTTTCTTTCCTCTTCGCCTACAGCAATTTCACCAACCTGTTTTTTTTCTGAAAGCTTCAGCTGCACAGCATCGATTTCCCTCTGTTATTCTCCTGCCCTCAGAAAATGTCAGCTGTTCCTGTTTGAAAGAAGGGCAATTATTCCCACAGCCTCTGACAGATGACCTCAGTCTCATCTAACTTAGTTTAGCTTAGCTGCCATGTGTTGGTTTTGCTTTGAGGGGGAATTGAAATCAGCCAATCAGGACAACAATGAAGAGTTAGCGCATGGGATGGTGATTAGTGATTAGAGTCTGAAGGTTTAGTTCTGCGTACTGTTAACTGAGTGATTATGTCAACGCCGATCTTGATCGAGATAATGAGTTGGAGTTGCATGGTAATTGTTGTGTTCATGAGAGAAACGCAGAGTTGGTGGATTTGTGTGTGTGTGTATGTGTGTATCCAAGGAACATTGTGGGGAAGAAACCCAAATATATATGTTATATATTTTTTCATTTCATATCTTCATTTATTTCATTTTATCTTCCTGCACATTTAGTCTATGCTTGTCAGGGCTACATTAATGAACTTGACTTGAAATAGCAAATAATTAGGTACATTTTGAAGCATTCACATTAAGTGTGACGCGATTTAGCAAATAAATTGAAAGGATCCGAAAATTAAAAAACTCAGAGGTGATCTGATGCTTTTACTTAATATAAACAAAAAAAGACCCAATACCTGGGGACACCCAATATTGATGAAGAGCCGAACTTGGGGAGTTTCACTGTTTGGTAACAGCTGCTTCAGGACGTATCTCAGAATGTCCGTCAGTGACCTGTTGCTTTGTCAAAAATAACTGTCAGCAAAGCCTCAGTGTCGCTCAGCACGATGTCATTACTGATGTGAAATATGTATAATGTGCAAATTAGTTGCTCATTTTCTTTCTCTCTATCTTTACACATATTGTACGTGTATGACACGTTCCACAGGGAACCTGACAAAATGACAATAACTTATCTTCTCCTCTTTCCCCTCTTCTTCTCCATCCTTCCCACAGTGTCTCTTCAGGACATCACCATGAGAAAGGCATTCAGGAGTTCCACTATTCAGGACCAGCAGCTTTTCGACCGCACGTCACTGCCCATCCCTCTGCAGGAGACCTTCGAGACCTGCGAGCAGCCGCCACCCCTCAACATCCTCACGCCCTACAGGTATGGATCCAGTCACTTCTCTACGATATGATCAAATCATAGCACACATGTAACTTAATTTAGAAGATGGTGGATGGTGATGATGGAGTGCTATTGTTCCATCTTTTCTGAGCCCAGCATGACTAGTCACTAGTTTGATGCATTTGTAAGATTCCACACTGTCTTTCTAATGGAAATACTACATTAGTATTTTATGGATTGGCACAAAGAGAGAATGACTACTCCCCCATTGTTAACCTAAATGGCCTTGAAGTCTGGCTGTTATTTGACAGATGCCTTAGTGTTATATTTCTGACAGCAACTATAAAAGCTTTTATTTAGCACAGCCTTGATGGTGACAATGATGGACCACACACAGGTGATGGAGACACACTTAAGATGGGCTCAGACTGCAGGAATTATGGGTCGCTGCCTCTGGAAGGATTATGTTGATAATATCCTTAAGTATGTGATGTGCCTTTATTTTCAAATCTTGTAGCGTGGGCATGTTAAAGATTAGAGAAGAAAGATTGTGAAGATTCCTCTTATGTTTGCGATACAACCAGAGTTTCAAATCTTTTAGGTTTTTAAAACTCTAGTTAAATTTGACTTGATATAGAATATGACTTTGTGTGTGGTTATCTGCGTGAGAGCAACCAGAGGTGTTGGTAAATATAACAGGCAGACTTTCTCTCTTGGCTCTTGAGGTTGAGCCGGGCAGGCAGAGTGATAGAAACATGTGAAGATGAATAATCCATAAAAAGCTCTGCTGGCCACTGAGACCAGCACTCCCTCCCCTTTTATTCCTCTGCCTTCTCACCCTGCTGTTTTCTCACCTCACTCCTTTTTTATACTCTCACTTCAATTTTTCCTTTGCACCTCAAGCGTCTTACGTGACACTTAATACTGTCACCCTGACCAAGCCTGTTAAAGAAGGTTTCAGGCCAAACGCAGTCTCTTTATTTCCTGTGTGTGTTACACATGCACTGTAAGAAAACAGGTGCAGGTGTAAGCTTCTGTCTGTATACTTTTCTAGTCTTGATGACCTCACATGAGAGGAGAAGTTGGGGATCAAACCACCGAAATGATAAAAGTGCTACATGAAATCAGATCATCTACCATTCCACGCCACTACTGGTGTTCAAGGATATTCACTTGTCAGCGGACGACCCGCTCTACCTCCTGAACCACAGCCGCTTGTGGATTAAGTACTAAATCTCATTAAATCACAAATCTCATAAATTTGTTATAAGGAAACACCATAATAAAATAATAAAATAAAATAAATTATTTAATCTAGCAATATCTATAAGACCTATAATAATATAATTCTACATTAGTTGCCTGTCACAATTAATTTGTCAGACTAACTGTCCAGAGAACCCCAAGACACTCACTTGCTTATTAAATATGCCCAAGAAATATGAAACAATCCCATTTTGACAGTTTTCACAAACAATGAATGGATCATTATTGTTGCAGCAAATCTTCTGTCGGCCAATTAATTGATTAACATTTCCGCTGTAATTAGTAACTTGACAGACACAGTTGTAGAACATTCATACACAGCAGATCATCACCAGATAAACTAAATGTTGTGATGTGACATATTCTGCTCGTTTGGTGTTTCTACGATGAATTAATGAATTTCCTTCAGTTCCGACTGCAGAGCTGATTTGTTCCTCTGCTCTGAATGGCTGATTAGGATTATCATGGACGGCCATTACATTCTTATGATTCATAATTTATAAAATACCGCTCTTTGATCTTCTTTTCCATTCATTCTCTCCCTGTCTTACAGCCTCATGACTCTTTTCTTCTCATTTAATTCTTCCCATTCGTCTCTCCTCTCCTCAGGCTCCGACTTCCACACTTAGCTTCTGTATTCTCCCTCTCTCTCTAACACACACACACACACACACACACCAACACACACAGAGCGACTACCATGCATAATCATAAGCACCAACCCTCAAATACTACCCACAGTGCTCACACATACACACACTACAGTGGCTGTTTCTCCGCCCTTGCCTTATCTCATTGTTTGATTCTGTTTTCTTCCCTTTGTTGTGTTGCATATCATTAAACTTTCCACTCTTGCCTTTTGAAGCTTCTCCTTTTCATGCTCTTGTGTTCTTGCTCTTATCGCTGTCATCATCAACTAATTGCCTCCCAAAGCTTGACAGCTGCACCATGAGTTCAAGTTTGGGCTCACAGTAAATTTAGACCAGGACTAGGCTAAAAACTCATTCAGTTGAGAGTTTTTAAGCCATTTTTTGGTTAATGCTTATGTTTAAACATGTTTATCTGGGGGTTATTAAACATCCGTGGCTAATTAAACTAGCCTAATTTTGCTGCAGCCGTGATCAGATAATCATGATTGGACCTAAAAAGTCACGTGACACATGCAGATGCAGAAGACAATCAAATAGTTAACATATACGACAGAGTATTAAGGCCATGCTGACGGGCTGATTTTCTGATATCCTCCTAAAATGACACGTTGCCTAAAGTTATGACTAAAAATAAATTGTATTTTCTCCCTTAAAGGGGCCCTAATCAGCATCTTAATATATATAGTTTGTCCTAGCTTTTAATAGAATAGTGATTTTGGGATTTAAATGTGTTTTAATTTTAATGAGAGTTTTCTTACATGAGCAAAGTAACGAGAGTTTAACAAGCTGTTACCCTTGAGGTACCCTTGCTCCATCCTTCTGATGCAAGATTGTGAATGTTTGTATCCCAGTGTCGACTCATGGTGGATACATCCTAAGTCATGACATACTTCTTTGTGTTGTTTTGAAATTCAAAAGAAGAGATGTAATGTAATAATGTGGAAATGAAGACATACTGAGAAGGACGAGAACATCAGCAGGGCAATTTACAAGGCTAATCCCCCTGTCGATAGGAAATAACATTTCCAGGCAGCGTGTATGGGCGTTTGTGTACTTTGTCAAGAGGGACCTTTTGATGTGATAACTACCTGCTTCTTTTTATCATTTCCCTCCCTATCATCACTGCACCACTCCCTCCAGTGATCACCATCCACGAGGACCTCTGTAATGAGAGTGAGGAAGACAGATGAGAGAGAATGAACGATAACGCAGGACATTAGCTATTATTCATGACAAATAAAATAAATAGTAAATTGATAGGATTTGTTGAAAGGAAAGGGCAGGAGAAATGGGAGTTGTTGAACCTGCAGTATCTGTGCCTTCTGCATTTTAAGAGAAACAATAAAATATATGTATGTACTTCATTTGTAAAGAAGTCAATGCCTATTTGTAAGTTTCCTATTGTCCTTTATGAGTGATTAAAACCATTAGTTCATTAATAAGTTAGTTAGTCAGCAACATTAAGTTGAATACTAAAATATGCTGTATACTGAAAAAGTAAAAACTGAAAATAAAACTGAATTCAAAGTTTTAATCATCTAGAGCTGTAGCTAGCAATTATTTTCAATATGATTATTATCTATAACCAGTTGATAACATTATCTCATGATTACAGTAGTTGCAAATTAATTAAAAACCCCAAAAACATGTTTGTTTAAAGAAAGAGTAATAGAATATCAACCAAAATGTGACGTGCTTCCTTCTTCTCATCCACAGGGACGACGGGAAGGAGGGCCTGAAGTTCTACACCAATCCATCCTACTTCTTTGACCTGTGGAGAGAAAAGATGCTGCAGGACACAGAGGACAAGCGGAAGGAGAGGAGGAAACAGAAGGTAAGTCTCGAAAATTACGAGCACAGGGCCCTGGCAGCGTACATCTGACTTTCTCTGATCGGCATCAGTGCGGGCGGTCCTCGACTCGTTTGTATAAAAAAACAAACAGAGGCGTTTATGATTTGCATGTTTGAGAGCCCTGAGGTTATAGTGGGTAGGGAGACATCCTGTATTCTCTGCAGATCCCCACTGGTGTGTCCTGCTCAAACAAACCGATTCAGTGGTAGATCTACAGGCCTGGCTTCACACCATGTCAACTAATGCATTAATTAGCCACCACTCACAGATTAATCAACTCTTCCTCGAGTCAACCCTCCTAGTTATTACTTGTGTGATCATTACATCTAATTAATGGGAGCATCTGCTGTTCACTGTGCGTCATCTCTCTGCCTCGACACAAACACAAACACACACACAGCCTAGAGAGGAAGATCTGTACACACGTGCGCAGTCTGATGAGTCTGTGTATGTTTAATTTTGATTTACGCAGACACACTCCAATTAAATGAAAGAGCTCTTTTGCATCCATACGCCGCTGCTCTCTCTCATCAGATGCAAAGCTCCAAGCCACCCCTCTTACTCAAAAGACAGGGGTTTCCCACCCTCTGCACCAGGAGCTCTAATCAGCACCAGCTTGCATTTCCTTGCGTGGGAAGCAGGGCGTGCTCCACACTCTCCGCTCCCGCGCAGTCAATCAAAGCTTATTACAGTCATGTCAATGAGGAATAAGGAGAGTGATTTTCCGCAGAGGGTTCATGTAAACAAGGAGGATATAATTTGCTGGTTATGAGGTTTTAAATGATTGTGGGAATGGTGCAGAGAGAACAAAGGGCGAGTTCAGCCATGAATTAGTTGGTGAGGAACTAATGATGTTTATATGTTGTGGTTTTTCTATTTGCCATCTTAATAAACACACACATGTATTTTTTTTTTCTAAACGTAAAAACGAAAACACAAAGCTCATTTGTAACAATAGACGGACTTTACTTACAGCAGAGGGTAAGCTTGATATGGGCGGTTGTAGACCGAGCTCATTGGACTTATTTCATTCTAATTAAAGCCCCGGGTGGGCTTGGCTCGTAGAGCCTTGTTCATTTCCCTCCTCACTACACTGGCAGTCAGACAGACCCCATGGACAGGCCTAGAAGACATTCACAGGGAGAGTGGGATGGATTAGTGGGATTACGCACACATATTTCTTGGTTTGTGTAACCATCATGGTGGATAAATGGTCTGAATGAGGATTGGGGTAAATACAGTGTGGAGTAGTTTTGTGTGTGTGTGTGTGGGGGGGCATACAGACTTATTCACTAACAGGGTGAGGGGTGGAAAATAAGAATTATGGTCACACATACACTCACAGAAATGGGTTAAATGTAGTGTGTCGAGCATTGATAGATTAACACTTAATCAGTTAGCTCATCATCTGTTTCTACCCCATCATCGTTATGTGGCATAGTCACACACACACACACACACACAGGAAGTGATGCTCATAGACAATAATCCAAATGAACCATGATCTGAGATGCCTCTGCAGCTGACAGGCCAGTCAGTCAGTCGTTTCAATCACAACATTTTTTAGTTATTAATAATAAAAACAAAGGGTAAACATGCTCTGAAGTAGTATCCTGAAAATACTGTATTTGCACAATTTTGCACAAGAGTGCACACGTCAAAAGAAGAGTCTGACCTATTTAATATATTTAATAAAGAGAAAAGCTTCACATAACTGACTTTTGAATGTTTTGCAAATTACTACTTTGAAGCTATTGAAAAGGTTGAGGTTTAGATTCTTCTCAGTTTAGCAGCAGTTCAGGTCGAAGTTTCTTCTTACACTGCAGCAAATCAAATATTTTAGCTTTGGGTGTTGAAGGAGCAGCTTGAATGACTCAATTAATTAAGTGGCAATGAGGGTATTTATTATAGAGCGGTATAATTTATACAGTTGGATGGGTAATAATTCTTTCAACATAATAAAAAATAATTTTATGGCTTTAGCCCTGGCTTTGTTCGTCTCTGCTTTAAATTCTGGAGCAAATGAAAAAAAAAAAAAAAAAACCAAAGCGATCAAAGTTGCATGCTTAAAAGTCTGGTTTGAGTTGGAAGTTGAAAGTAACAGCAAAGAAGCTACTCAGATGTTGGCAGTGAAGAGAGACCACTCTGTACTTTAGAGACCTGGAAATTGGTACCCGACACAAAAAAAGGTCAGACTAGTGAGATCACCATTGTTTGTCTGAAGAAGGGGAATTTCAGCACTCGTGCCTTCGCGTCATCTTATTCAATTACCATATATTTTCTTACAGTCAAGAGTTAGTCTGAAACCACATTCACAAGTAGGAGGTTAGAAAAGCGGGCACACATCGTATAGCTGATAAATGAAGAGCAGCCCAGGGTTGAGAGGTGGGGGAAAAGACACCTGCAGCGTCTTAATCTCATTAGCTCCTGTTTTAGCTTCGGCCTCAGTGGATTAGCTGCAGACTATCTGTGCTGAGCCGGTCAGAGGGAGACAGGCTGAGAGAGTAAGAGGAAAGCTCCCAGGGATACGTGAGGATACAAAAGAAGTGAGAGAGAAAGTAAGGAAATCGTTGAGAGAAACAGAAAATAACTGCCTCACTGTGAGATCTGTCCACACGACATCAAGTTTCGTCTCCTTCGTTTTAAATCCCCTGTGGAGAATCTCCTTTGGCTCCGCCTCTCTCATTACAGCTCTCACAGGCATCTTAATACTGACATTCAGGTCTCAGGCTGTTTTTTATATGTACCAAAGCAGGAATAAATGCTTTGTGAATTTGTCCCTAGCCAGTACGCATCACTGCCAGTCCTCATTAAAATCTGCAGGCGTCCAACGTGGAAGGATAATAGCACAGCTTGTTTAATTGACAAGGCAGTATAAAAACTCAATCCTGCATTGTCACAGGTGAAGAAACATTCCTGACTTCATTCCAAATGATAGGATGAGATAATTAAAGTCCACAAACCAACAAAGACAAAGGAATGAAACTTCCTGTGAACATGCTCAGGTTTTGTTCCTAAAATTAAGGAAGTCAAAATGTCTCCCAAGCTTAAAAAAGCTGTGAAAATAATTACAGAATTTTCTTTTCTTGTGAAGAGACTTCAAGACTTTCCTCAGACTGTTGAATTTGGCTGCGATAATCTATGATGGTCATGATTGTAGTTAGACTGTGGAACGATTGATTGCATGTTTGATTATGATGTTTCAGGGTCTTTCTTCTCAATAAAATATTTAGCTTCGAAGCTTCAAGGCGTGTGCAGGATCTGTTCTTTTCCGTTCTTTTCCGCGGGTGGACACGTCCGAGCTGCTTCGCTGTGAACACTCACTGAGATCTTTATGTTTGGTTGGCAACAGTTTTAAAATTATCCTGATATTAGTGTGAGGGTTCTGTGAACTCCAGTAGCAACAACATGCATGACTCGTATTTGTGGACATTCAGAGTAAACATAGTATATCTCTATGCAAATAAATCAAGAAATGTGTTTTATGTTAAATGCAGACATGCTGACATGATGCTTTAGCTGCATATTACACTTAGTACATCTTGTTTACAAAGATTACTATTATCCAGCAGCTGAATATGCATGTTAAGTATTTCAGCCTAGTCCACAGCACTGCTACAGAATGCACCAAGAAGCCTTAATGGCTGTTTCTGACCTAAGAGAAGCTTGTTAATGACTGTGGCTGGAACAGCAGATTTTTTTTTTACTTAAACAGCAGATTTTTTACACACGAGGACTGAGAAATCTCCTGGATGCCACTTAGATTATATATGCAAACACCTCATTAAAGCAGCAATTTGCATGTTATCAAAGTAAAGCATTTACAAATGATCTTCTTTGGCTCTATGCTTGTCTTTGCAAGGGCCAAACATAAACCAGCTGCGCAACAAAGGCAAAGATTTGGAGTGTGATAATCTGAATTGTGCGTGGACACAATGGGAGGACGTGCTGCACCATGACTTTGAAGTCATTGTTGCATACGTGCTGAAGTGCCTGAGTCATTCGGATGCTTTTCTCAAAGAGACGAGTATGAAACAGATCATCAGATTTAGATGTGTGTCAGATAGCTTCTTATGAAGAGGAGATGTTCCGGTACCATTTTCCCTTCCTGATACTGATTCTGATACCTAGACTCTTTTAAAAAGAAACATATATACTTAAATCAAATAACGTTCAAATGCTGTATGAGATTTATGGTATTGTAATTGGAAACTCGTTAGTTCAGGTGCAAGAATGAATGCGATGGAGGAACATAGTTTGGAAATGACATTGAATGACAGATTAAGATTAAATTTTAGAAACTAATATCAAGCCAATTGAAGATGGTGCATTTACAAGAAGTCAACATAAGAAAAATGAGACTGACAGAGAGTACCCTGCGTTTACAACTACATGTGAATCAAAACACAGAAAATGAAAATGTCCCCAATGTTAAGACAATTGATCGCGTGTGATATTATATCTTGCTTCTGTGGTAAAGTGCCTTACAATTCAGTGTCACGGTAGAGGAAGTTTGTATAAATATAGACTGCCCTCCGTATCTCTCCTCCTCTGACTTTGCTCCTCTCAACCTTTTCTCGATCCTGGTCTAACTCGATGCAGCTGGAAATGCCTTATCTTGTGTGTCCCAAGGGTTTTATAAGAGTCCTCTCTGAAACCCCTCCTCCCCTCCTCAATACCCCAGAGGTAAGACCCCTCCATCCCCAATCCACCACATCTGTCGGAGCATCTGCTCCCAACGTGGCAGCCTGCAGCCCTCCACTCTCTACCCATAACCGCTTTTGGTTTGCTCTGGACGAGTGAGCTTCCTTCCTGATACTAACAAACCCTCCAGTATTTCACTCTGTGTCCTGGCTACATCCCAGGAAACTTATTTAGGTGCAGGAGCACAGGAAACCTCGAAAGCTTGTCAGTAATCTTCTTCTTCCAATAAAGGGAACATTGCATTGCAGAAGAGAAACGTATTCACTGACAATTGTGGCTTTAATACACTGCAAAAGTTAATGATTCATTGATTAGTTTTATTCTTAAATTTGAATTGTGTTGCTGCTAATTGATATTTTCATTCATTTCGGTCAGTCATGGTGTTTCAGCCACACCTGTCTCCATTTTTAAAACCTCATATCTGTGAATAACAGTTACTACAGGATACACTAAAAGAAGAAATTTGGGACGCAGCCATGGAGTCGATGCTTTACTAACAAGAAAACTAACATGTCACATTTGAACTAACAGTTTTGAGCATGATTGACAGCTGTGACTATCTCGTGATGGGGCTAGTATGTGTATTGGCGGGATCTCGATATCGCGGCTCCGCACCACAATCACCACTGTGCAGACTTTGGCTCCAAATTATGGCTCTGATACTATTGAAAAGACGGCAGCGTTCGTATATTTTGGATTCATTTTTGATGAAAAGGAGACGTGTCGTCCATCTTTATTCACAATCACTGGTTATGAGATAAGCGCACATTGCGTTGGAATGGGATCCCTCTTCAGATGCCCTGTTTGGGCTTAGACCTGCACGTGAGAATACATTCTGTATATAACATAAATCTATAACTGCTGTGTTACACAGCCACAGTGCTTACACAGCAACTCCTCCTCTGCCTGTGCCGTTCGGATGAAGGATGACGACCTAGCAGTGGCACAACCTCTGAAATTAACTACATTTATAACGGCTGTGACAAACACACACGGGTGCGCTGTCTCTCATTTTCTCTCATATACAAACAGTGCACCTCCCACACTTGTTTACACTTTGCTATTTACCTTCAACACATTTTCACCCTCACATTGCTCCAGTGAAGCCTTCCCTCTCAGGCACTATGTTGGACACATGTCCGCCTGCTGGCCACATGAATGTGTCAGACACTTTACCTGCCCCTCCACTGTGCTACAACTAGAGTAGCACTCAGTAGAGCATACATCTCAGCCAAAGCCTAAATATGTCTGAACCTTTTCAACAAAATTCACACATAATTCTCTGGGGGACCCCCCTGTGATCTGGATCCACACCAAAATTGAATGGGCTCTTCAAAAACCCATGCAACATTCCTCCACCATGTTTCAGGATAATACTTTCAGGGGGAGTTTTTGTGTAATCCTGCTAACTATCAGAAATGCAGATGAAAACATTACGTCCTTGGCGGAGGTAATCAAAGCTAGAAATCCCATAATAATAGTCTATAAACCTCTGAGCAGCAGTACAGTATGCTCACTTATTTTCCTGCTGATGGTTCTTTTTAATACTTGTTTAAATATTGCTGAGGCACGCTGCCCGCAAACCTTTCAGGAAATCAGAGGTTAATGTGAGTGAAACTAATCTTCCAAACGATGCAGCAGATATGAAGCTGGATCTTAGAGGTTCTGCAATGTTTGTTTAGAAAATAGCAGAAGACAATAAGTAAAGGTTGGGACGCAGTTTCTTCAGCCTCAGCAGATGTCAGGAGGCGGAGCTGCCTCAGGTTTGTCAGTTCAGATATATGAATGTGTTAGAGAGAAAGAGAGAGAGAGAGAGAGAGAGCAGTGAGGCTTCCCCTCAGCCAATGCTCATCAGGGGTAATGGTCCACAATGAATCAGAACCTAATCAATGTGCATTACCATTAGGATTTATTCCCACACTCACTCTCAGCTGTCCGGCCTCAGCAGCGGTCGAGTAAATATCAACATCGTGTAGTCAAACCAGATTAGATGTTGTCCACAACCCATGTTGTGTTGAATCAGCCAGCATGTTTAATTTAAAGACTGGTTTACGCACATGCACACGCACACGCACACACACA